AACCTACAAATTCAGACCAAAACTAGATTACAGTGATTTGTTACTAAAACCTACAAATTCAGAACCAGAACTAAATGACAGTGGGGGTGTTACTAAAACCTACAAATTCAAAACCAAAACTAGATCATATGGGGTGTTACTAAAACCTACAAAAGTTGCTATCTCCAAAATATAATGCATCCCAAAATGCTATTGCCCCTGCATGCCTCTAACAAGCATCCAGTCGAGTCTCCCTAGGATCTCCGTTTGTAGTACCTGAGATAGAGATCAACACGAAAAAGTGTTGGGCGTACAAGTCTAGTGATTTTAAGCATTCAAGACGCCCAATATAAAACATACATATAAAAAGATGGCACAAACCACATACAATGCAATGCCATTACAATACATGTACACCTTCGGGTTCTTCTTCCAAACGCCAACAACATGAAGTATCAGCATTCGATTAAGCCAACATATATGGGGAGTCTTGTTTCATGGAACATGGTGGAACACAAAAGTAGGTCATGACATCAATGTTGTCGTGTAGCATCTCAAGATCTCTGTCTTAGAGTTTATAAACCTCTGTGAAAGTTCCATCTCAAGGTTTAGGTCGAACTTAGTGCCTACCCCTCCAAGTTTCACCGCAGGACTCAACAACCTTAGTACCTACTCTTAGAGCTCCATTTGAGGGGATCCATTTCTTATCTTTATAACCACCAATAACCCATTTTTATTCTGTTAATATCAACAAATTTACCATAGCTCCATAATGCATAACTTTCAAATTAAAAAAATGACCAAATAGTGTAAGAATCTCCTTGTAGCTTTCATTACAAATCAATACCACCAAATGTTTAGACTGAGGATTCATAACTCAGTATTGTTAACAAATTCAAAGCATATGTATTTCTCCCAAACATTTCAACAATATATGCCCAAAAGGCTCCATGAATGCATCAATGACTACAAAAGAAAGACAGTCTGACATAAATCTGGTTTTTACAAAGTAAATTGGAGTCACATTGCTAGATGTAGGTCGAACTAGACTTTAAAGCATAAACCTAAAGTTTTCTTTAAAGATGACTTGAAGATTCCTTCATTGCTCTTCAATGACAAATCAAAGATCCAAGCTTGAATGATGCCAAAAGCCTTGAAGATTTGGTTTTGAAAGTGACAGACAAATGTTGGCTTCTAAATGACATGAGAAGGAGATAATGCCACAAACCCTAGCCAATTTAGGCATTTATCTCAACTAGCAATGTAATATCCCAAGGTAATTATTTGAGAACTTCTAGGCGTTGTTGGGTATTTAAGGGGTTGATGAGGGTTTATATTGGAAAGTTTGCTTTATTTAGATGGCCATGTATAATTCTTTTCTTTTAGTCCTCTCATTTTAGGTTGCTTAAAAGTATTGATTAGAGGACTGGAGTTATTTAACTGTAAAATTTTGGAGGATGGTTAATAGCTCTGATGAAAATCTCCATCCAACTTCGATTTTAGGTTTTGCTACACTTACGAGTTGGGTTTAATCTTTCATAGAGTTTATGGGAAATTTTGGATGGTTAAAGTTATGTTTTGAAAGTTGTTTTTTTAATCCAAAAGTTGTCTTGTCAGTTTCTATTATTATGAGTTTGAGGTTAGCATTGGTTTTGGATAAAAAAAAACTAAATTCGAGAACAGGGGCAAAGTGACTCCAGTGGGTCCCACGACTAGCCCCGTGACTTTGGTCGCAGGCTAAGTCGCGTAAACGTCTGTGGTTTTGATTTTTTCTTTGAGTTTTCCGTCATGGTGTTTCAGGGTCCTTTGGGGGTATTAATTACATACCTTAGAGAATGGTTAGAGATAAGATTGAGTTTATATCTCTTAATTGTGACTCATGATTACCTGATTCAGTTTCAGAGTGTTCGGTATCGGGATTCCTTACCTGTTAAGAATTTAGATTATTCTCGTAATCAATGTGAGCTTTCTTTTAACCATGTTCGAACTGAAATACATATATTATCAAATTATGATTACATTGATTTTATACATGATTGGTATGTTTAGATTATTACCGTTAATTGTGTGATGGTATTTTTACATGTTGTTAGAAAGTAACACAAGAAGCAGGATGCGTTAGGACTATAATGGTCCGTGCAGGGAGTTATATATAAGTATTGTGCCCACAAATTTGTTTTGAGTGGCAGGGCCACAACCAAAATCAATTGCAATCTTATCAGGATATGTGTGCAGTTTTGAGTAACGACTGTTGTGATAAGTTCCTTAGGAGGGTTGTTGAATCTGAGTGCTTGACCACCTGGTTTAACTGTTTTGCAATAGTTGGTCTTTAATGGATTAATAGACTGTTAGGGAATTTCCTCACAAGACCGTATGGTCTAACCCTGAGTTTTGTTTTCAAAAAGTATGCATTTAAGGGCAGCTGCGTCTTAACGATAAAGGGAAAGGAAAGTTGTGATTTTATCTGTATGGATGTTAAATGTGGAGGCGATCATTGTTATATAAGAACTTTCTATATCAAGATTTTAATAGAAAAAAAAAAGTTTGTTCAGTATTTCAGATGATGTATGGTTTTGATATATGGTGGGACCAAATTTGTAAAACTTATCTGGTTGATCCATGTACATTATGTGTTTCTTGTTATGTGAATTATGCGGGCTCTTGCAAGCAACGCTACAAGATATTGAGGTGGAATCTTTAGAATTTAGTATCCTCAAATATTGAATTATGATTGATTTTGGGTTATCTCGTATTGATAAGAAAAATTAACCGTTAGAAGAAAAGAGGCGTGTATGTATAGAGAGGAGGGGATGCATTTAGGTGCCGTTTACCAAACGCTTACCCGGGTAAACGTTTACCAAGTCACTTTACTTTACCTGATGAATATGACAAGGACTAAAAATCTTATCCAGTAAGAGCGAAAACAAGAACCGAGAGTCTTACCCGATAAGTGAGTACGAAGACTCTTACCATGATTAGCGTTTACCGAGATACAAATTGTTGCATACGATGCGTTTTAGTGAATAAAATCTTATCCAGTAAGTAAACGATAGTGTTGAATTTTACCGAGTAAGTGTTTAGGTAAACGGCCCCTTAAAAATTAGAAGTCGCAAAGGTCACTTGGTTATATTCATTTTAGTAGTTGTTTTTTAATAAATCTTTCTCATTTATATCAATATAAATCAAATAAGAATAAACTGATAGAAGTCATTATAAATGATGATAGAAATAATGCTATGAGATAAATCATCAACATATAAATGGTACAATTGTTTTCATTAACGTCGTTGTTATAACACCCAGAATTTTTGTAATGTAATTAATTAGATTATGATAAAGTCTTAATATGGATTGCAATCGTTGTTTAAATTCAAATGTCTAGTTTCTACATTTGTGGGCTTAATCCTTGCGAATTAAACCTTGAATCAGGCTTTGAGTAAGGCATTTCAGGCTTCTGCATGGGATCCATGACCCTATTGCCGCGACTCTTGCATCGCATGCCCAAGGTCGCATCTGGTGTATCGTAAGTGGGGGATTTAAGGACTTGCGGCCCTAGTGACCTGCGACCCTTGCACCACAAGGCCAATGTCAAGGTAGCAGGCTACCTTCGAGCCGCGACCCTAGAGTCGCATGATGTTGCATAACATTAAAGTCGGGATTTTAAGGTTGTCCTCCTCATTTACTCCACAACTCTCTCTCACTTCACTTCAAACCCTTAGGAAACCCTAGGACCAAACTTTTAAGCATTTAAGGAGCATTTGTTAGCATCAATCATCAAGATTCAAGGATTTGGATCGGAGAACCAAGATGTACTCATTCTTCTCATCATTTTGCTAAGTTTTAGGTTTTCTTCAAAACCTAACTTGCAAGATACAAGGAATCTAATGTACTGCCAATTACACGTAGCATATAATTGATATACTTGGAAACTAAATAGTGAGTTATGTGGCTTGAACTATTGGTTTGCCTACAGCTCGCCATTATGGTCCTTCAAATGATTTTGATCCCTCCCTTAGCTTACCAGGTCAGCATCATGAACCATTAAGAGGTAATATACACCCCCTTAACTGCAAGTAACATAACATTGTAATGACTCGCCACCCCATCACTATCAAGTGTTTCAATCCATTCCATGTCATCTACTTGCAATAATAACACACCAACTATGTGCTAGTGATGCATAGTTACCTTGTGAATGCTCGCAAGAACAACAAAAGGGACAACATGCCCTTGAGCTACTAGTGCAACCATATTTAAACCAACAGGAGCTATCACCCCACCATTTGCCATGACAACATGAGCCCCAACAATAACCGCTCATGATTCCAAAATCAGGCTCAAGACACAAACATCAAAACAAGCAATTTAGTTGTTGACATACCATGTTCACACGGGAAATCATGACGATACAGCAGAATCAGAGATTACTTTAGTTTGTAGTCCCCTAGCAACCAGTTCCTTTGCAAGAGTATGCCCTTTGGAAGATGGTTCGTGTGTATTTATTTATGAAGCATATCTAAGGTGTCTCGCCTCACCTCTAATCCCCCTAGCAAGGAGACTAAGGAGCAATGGTTACAGAATGGTGCGAAACTGTTCCTACAAATTAGGAACTCAATCGGAAGTTCTATCACTCTCTTGATAAATCATCGTTAGTATGTTAAAGAATTAACGGTTGGGACCCGCTAGAGCTAGGTCTACCTATTCATGCCTAAAATTGGGAAAATTAGAACCGATTTTTGTTAGGACATGTTAAAAGCATCATTGAATGAACTTATTGTTATAATCGTCACCTATGTTGTGCAATACAACAGTTCTTGTGTAGTCGGAGTCTATACGATATAGTACCATAGAAGTTTGAAGCAATAACACAATTGTGATGTCCTTAGATGTTTTGGACCATGCATTTGCTATACTTATGTATTCAAAAAGTGTATCACTTAGATCGACAAGTTAGGGACCGGACTAGGGTAATCTTTCAAATTTCATATGATGTCGATGGATCATTCAGATGTAAGTTATGAATTATTCTTGAGCCAAACAAAAACATTACATCATAATCAAATTAATGCATTATTTACATGATGACAGAAGTACAAAACTAAAACTAGATACAAGGAATCATTCCAAATGTAAGAAAAGAACAGAACCCCTAGTTTATCTTATGACTCTTGTAACTTCTCTGCCGACTCCCTAATCCTACCTCCCCACTCTCTACCTTTCGAACTCCCTCTCTCGTCTATGCTAGCTATAGGTGTCCACCCCTAGTCTATTATCCTAGTCATGCATCTTCAAGCATTCCTATGAGAGTTCATGTCCTTGAACATATCTAAGACCGCCGTGTCTATCCTCGGTTGCTCATCCCACATCCTTCTCAGATTGCCCTTCCTCACACCTCGACCATCACACTTTCTATCCTCCTCACAGGAGCCACCATCTTCCGTCTCCTGCAAACGTGTCTAAACCACCACAATTCATGAATGTAAATTTGTAAATCTATGTTTCATAAACAACTCATGGAACTTCCAAATCTTATTTTTTAAATGTCCTTATTGTGATATTTGTTGATTATGTTTCATAAATGCTATATCAAAAAGTGTAGAGTTCAAAATGTCAAGTTAAAACTATAAGGAGCAAATTGTGAATACACAAAACTGTACAAATGTCTATTTTTTTCATCAGGTCAAACCTCAAACCCTAAGTCAAAAAGGTTTCATTTGTAAGACAATGGTCAAAACATAGTCAAATGCAATGAATTTTGCTTCCTTCACCCGCTGATGAAGACAACAATGATAAAAAAGAAATGGGAAAATCATATCAAAGCAGAATTATGAAGACAAAACTCGAGCAGTCCCTCCTGCTTTAGCTACATAATATAAAAATGGAGTTTCCCACAAGAGATTTGAGCAAAAGGTTGATTACCTACAACCCCGACCGGCCCCACACCCTAGGAACCACATGGCATTTCAAAGTTGACCCAAGGGCTAAGGCTAGTGGAGGGGTTCAAGCCCATCTCCCACATGATTTGAACTTGAACCTGTTGTGTTTTTAAGCAAAGTAGCTCCACCCTTTGCCAACTGAGCTACATGCTCGAAGGGAGTTCCCACAACAGATATTTGATGCTACAATAATATTATCATAAAGTAGCATAATATTATAAACTACAGCATATACAGCTAGGAGATATGAAAAAGGGGCATGAAAAGATTGATGATGCTTACCTGTAGATACCTTTAGATTGACCAAAAAGCTTGCCAATATAGCACCTTCAATGACCTGAGACTTTCCCGTACTTCACCAATAATCGCCGCAAGAGCAAACACCGTCTTCGAAGTGATGAAAGCGATTTATATCTCTGATGATGATCGCACGTTGCACAATCTTTGATATAAACTTGAAGACTGAATGGCAGTCCAAACATATTCTGAGATTTTTTATGATACGAATTGAGCATCCTGATGGTGTACTAACTAAGCCATATGCTAGAGCTAATCTCTCACTGTGTACCCATAATAGTCGCGACTTTTCATCATCCTCTACGTCAAGTAATATGACATCATGGTTGGATATATAACCCACCTTCTTACTTTTTAAATTCAACCACTCCAACATCCCGTAGATTAATCTAATGTCAGGATGGGAAGAATCACCGACTGTAAAATAATGAACGATACCCTGATTCTCAATCCAACTGAGTCCTGGTTCCTTTTTCACTCTTTTCTTCTTCATATTTTTCCTAACCAAAGCTACACTATCCCACCTTTTGGCATTGGCATACAAGTTTGACAAAAGCACATAAGTAGACTCATCTTGGGGTTCCAACTCAAGAACACGCTGAGCAGATAACTCACCAAGTTCAACATCTTTATGGATCACACAGGCTCCAAGTAAAGCACGCCATATCATTACACTAGGTTTGCTAGGAATTTGATCAATTAGTTTCACAGCCTTGCCAAGGTGGCCTAGTTTTCCAAAAAGTGATACCATACAAGTATAATGCTCCATGCAAGGTTCAACAGAATAGTCTTGTAACATGGAAGTAAAATAAGTCTCACCTTCGTCTAACATACCTGTGTTGTTGCATGCTGAAAGGACACCAACGAACGTCAATTGATCGGGTTTAACATCTGTTTTAAGCATCATTTCAAAGATACGCAGAGCCTCTGCACCAAGACCATGCATGGAATACCCTGAAAGCATAGCATTCCATGAAACCACCTCTCTTTTGTTAATGGTGTCGAAGACCAAACGAGCATTCTTAATGCTGCCACACTTGGCATACATATCTATTAAAGCATTTGCGACCACAATATCATCTTCATATAAGGTTTTAATTGTCAAGCAATGTATTTGGATGCCGGGCTCTAAGACTGTCAAGCTAGCACATGCACGAAGAATGCTGGAGTATGTCACCTCTGTTAACTGAACATGATCTTTCAGCATATCGGAGAATAATGTTAGTGCCATATTCCAATGCCCTAAAAGCACGTAGCCAACAATTAGAGTGTTCCAAGAGACCTCATTCCTGTTTTTTGATTCTTTGAATAGTGAAACTGAGTCCTCTATGAATCCACATTTAGCATAAACATCCATAAGGGCATTTGATACATATACATTCAAACAAAGACCAACTTTTTGTACATGACAATGAATCTGCTTTCCAAACCTTAAATTCTCCATTGTTGCACATGCTTGCAACACACTAGCAAAAGTAAACTGGTTAGGAACAGTAGGTCCCCGTCTCATCCTACAAAATAGTCTCACTGCCTCGTCAGATCGGTCACTTTGAGAATATCTTGCAATCATGAAACTCCATGGGATCACATCCTTTTTGGGTATCTCTTCGAAAGCTAGGCGTGCATCCTCAATATCACCAGACTTGGTATACATATCAAGCAACGAAACACTAACGTAAGCATCAATCTCATAGCAAGTCTTAATAGCACACCCATGAACGCTCTTACCCACTTCAACGGCCTCAAGGCCAAGACATGCCTTAAATATACTTGCAAGTGTGAAGTTGTTGGGATTAAACCCTAGCATGCGCATTCGAGAAAACATTTTGAAAGCCTCTTCGAAATAATCATTTTCAGCATAACATGTAATCATACCTGTCCAAGATACCATGTCTTTATTAGAGATACCATCAAAAACTTCCCTTGCATCATCAACAAACCCACAAGATGAATAAGCATCAAGAAGTGCAGTGCCAACAAAAGCATTAGAATGATGACCAAGTTTGTAAATTGTCCCGTGAAAGTTTCTAGCCAATTCAGCACACTCCATGTTAACAAGCAGCTTCAAAAGAGTGGTGAAAACAAACGCATTAAGCTCGTGACCTTCTCTATGTAACCTGACAAACAATTTGGTAGATTCAACATGTGGAAACAACTCTGAATACCCCTGAATTAACGTAACGAAAGAAACTGTATTTCGGCTAGGCATTTCATCAAACACATTACAAGCATCCTGCAACAGCTCCGACCTCACATACAAATTCAAGAGTATATTCCATCCAAACAGGTCCAAACCACCACCTTTTTTCAAGATGTGACAATGAAGGGTCTTTCCTAAGGCTAGATTGCTGCTGATAATGCAATTTTGTAGAAAGCGAGCACATATATGAGCATCCAAATCGGAGGTTGGCACTACATAACTTACTTGTTCTTGAACCAATTGGGGGGAGGTGGATAGTGATGAAAAGAACCCACATGGTGGGCAGTGATTCGGAGAAGTGGTTGATAGCAGATAGATAGATGCCCGTGTTCTACAACGATAGTAAGATCTTATCATGTGTTTTGATAAGGAAACATGAATTTCCTAGCCACTTCATGAATTTGGAGAAGACCCACCTGAACCTCCTATTTCATACAGTTTTGGCACGTTTCTATTGCATTATAGCATCACTCATGGGACCAGATTACTTGAGGTTTTGCCGGTTGCCGGTTGCCGGTTGCCTGCAGGTTCATAATTTTTATCAGGGGTGATAATTTTGTATAAAATCAAACCAACCAATATACGTATCAACCAGTATCAATTAAATCATTACCAATTAAACTGGTACCAACTTAATTAGAAAACTCAAAATGTCGACAAATTTTGAACAAAATGGTAAATTTTCATATTTGTAATTTGAGGACAGAACAAAATCCATACCAACACGTACTAATCGAGAAAATATCGGTATCAATTAAGTTCGTATCAATCTTTTCTAAAAGATTGAAAACAAGTTCATAAGTTGAATCTGGTTCTTTCCCAAAAAAATTTAATCTGAGAAGATTAATTAAGCGGATTTGAAAAGATTTGCTTAAATCTTCATGAATTGACGGTATACTTTCATGATCATTCATTTCTTGGTACGATGTTAATGGTCCCTATTATTATCATAAAGGGGGAGTGTACATAAAAATAAATGAATCTATCTGAAAACTGGGTAGTTGTTACAAAAGTGAAGTTAATTCTGAAGAAGATTATTGTACTGCTATGATCAAGGGGGAGTGAATGTGAAGATTATTCCTCATTTGTTATAAAGAAGGAGATCGTGAAGATTAATTCTGTTTTAAAAGAAAAAGGAAAATTACTCAAACGTTGAAAAGAAGTTTCTATACCAAGTCAAAGGGGGAGATTGTTGAAATTGTACGAGTTCTGTTGTTTAAAGAAGATTGTCAAGGATAGGGGAGATTATAAGAGTTTTAAAGTTTGAAGAAAGAGTTTGAAAGTTTGAAGGAAGAGTTTTCAAAGAGGAAGACTGCTAATGCTTAAAAGATTAAATCTTGAAGATTTCAAGTTTTTTGAATGAATTCTGTAGATCGTTGCTGTTAAAGCTGAAAGTTTAAAGATCTGAAGAATTCGTTGTTTTTGGACTTAAATCCAAAGGGGATGATGATAGATTTTGAAATATTTTGATCAACGTTTATGTTGTCGACCAATTCAAAAGATATGGCATAAAACTTGAAAGAAATAATCCATGAGCAGTGGAGGGTTTTGAAAGAAAAGAATATTGGAGGGTTATTCATTGAAAGAAAAGAATATTGGAGGGTTATTCATTGAAAGAAAAGTATATGCTCCTAAAAATGATGGTTTAGAGCCATACCAGTTCCATGTAGATGCCACCATCGAACCAACTACTGCCCATATAGTAGTCTCTGAACCTATATTAGCGCAACAAGATACAACAATCAAAATCATCGCTAAAATACACTACACCGCTTCAAATTGAAGTATTTATCAAAGAACAATCAAAATATTTCCTATGTGTTACCTCATCTATATGATTAAAATATATACTATCCAATAAATAGTGTGTGCCTTACAACATCAAATAACCATATAGTCCGTTAACCAACAAATTGGCAACCTATAAATAATGGGTATAATCATTTCAGTTAAAACTAGTCTTGTTTTTTCTCCAGAATAACTTCATCACTACATAACCATTAGCTGGTAAGTGGAAAATGTGTGTGTATTTACTGACAATAGCAATCGAAGATTTATGGATACATGTAGATAAGTTTTAGTACGTTTCCATTCTAAGCGGGATCTATATGTTTTGAATTGTTGCATCTATTGAGTGATCAACAAACGACCATGGAGGTTTTTTTTTACCAAGTTCATTTATTAGAAAAAAACCAGGTTATTCAGAATCATGCAATTAAGAATCATTTCGGATTCACATAAAAAGAATCAACCAAGCTGTTAGTATCATAGGGTAGCAACACTATGGATCTGCAACCTCAAATTTTAAAAAGTAGGATACAGGAAATGCTAGCGGGTGATGGCAATTTAAAGTTAACAAGATAAACTATAATATTCACAATTTTGTTCTATAACCACCTCCAAAGAAACCCTAATACCATTAATGGAGGCCATGTACAATTTTGTTCAGAGATCCATGCATAAAAAAGTCATTTCTGAAATACAAACATATTATCTTTGAAATCTATTATTCCTCTAAACCATTTGAATCTTCCGTCTTTTAGGAATCCCTATGAATATTTACCCTATGCAAGCAAAGGAGACAACTCATTCATTATCTGAACATGAAAAACTAGAAAGTGGTTTCTGAATCTCTAGCTTTAGAAACTATAGCACAAGGTAGTTTGAAATGATTTACTGAGTGATCCAAACTTGGAGACTATAGTGATCCCAACAGATTGATATGATTAGTTGAGATATATAATACGTCTCACATTGATACGGAATTGGAATTATTTAAAGATGAAGTTAACAACCTAGGATATTACACGTATATTCTAGAAGGGGCAAAAGGGTAAATGACAAAGTGACTGAAGGTTGTTAGAAGAGAGAGAATAAAAGAGGAAGGAAGTTTTCTTTTTTACGCATTCTGTTATTTGCTTTCCATTATCTTGGGCTCCAATCTTGTAGATTGTGAGAGAGGGATTATCCCTGGAGTTTTGATTGTAATTTCCCATTTCCGATTTCAATTAAATCATTCCCTTCCTCTCAATGTGTTCTTACTTCATTCCATAGTTGCATTAGAAATTCGATTATTCATCACTGGTCCGACCTGCCGTTTCCTTTGATTCTTTGTTGATGGAAACCCGTTCTATACAATCCCGATTGGAGCAACATGACGTAGCAACTCCAACGACTTCAGACTGAGGTTAATGAGATTAAGCTGGCTCTGCAATCATTGGAGGTGGATAGGGTGGAGTCTGTCGAGTTCCGCCAAGTGATGCTAGGGTGGATGAAACAACAGGTAACCAACACGATTCTGGTGGTGGCATGGGTTCAAGCAATCCTCACTCCGGTGTTTTCTTCGAGTATGGCGGCAGCAGTAACGGAGCTGGTGGGGGTGCTTTTCCTCCTCTCAATGACTCCGGTGGGGTACCTTGGGCCGTGAAGAAGGTTAAGTTACCAGAATTCTATGGGTTTGATCCTCAGGGGTGGATTCAAAAGGCTAATTTGTTCTTTGACATCAATGCTACTCCTGTCCATCTTCGTCTCCAACTGGCCCAACTTAGTATGACAGAAGTCGCACAACACTGGTCCACCGTCGTTAAGCAAGTTCATGAGGGTATCACTTGGGATCAGTTTCAAGTAGAATTACTTCAATGATTCAGTGGATTGAAAATCCAAAATCCCTATGAACAACTCGCCACCATCAGACCGTCTGACTCCATTCATGATTATATTGATGATTTTGAATACTTGCTTTCCTTGGTTCCCAAGTTACCAGAATCGCAATCGTTGGGGTATTTTGTAGCCGGATTGCGAGATGAAGTCAAACGGTGGGTTCGATTGCACCGCCCCCAATCGCGCCTGGATGCTATGTACTTGGCGAAGGATGTGGAAGAGATGTTGCGTCCGTCATCTTGTACTTTGTCTCAATCTAGTTTCCGGTACCATTTGGGCTCCGGTTTTAGCCCAAGTGAGCCACGACCTTTGCCTGTGGGCCGTGCGGAGGTTAAAAGCCCATTACCCAAGAGTATGGATCGATTCCAATCATCTAAGTCTTATCCAAGTCCCCGCTCTTCAGCCTCTCTGACCTCCCAAGGTTCAAACGATACTCAGAGGGATCGAGGGTTTCGTTCCCTTACGCGAACAGAATGGGAGGAGCAACACAAGAACGGATTATGTTTAAATTGTGGGAAACAGTATGGCCCGACTCACAAATGTCCAGAAGGGAAACTCCAGGTGTTACTGTTGGGAGAAGACGAGGATGGATTAGATGTGGGTGATGTTTATTATATGGAGTCCCAAAGTGAACAGGGTCTTTCAAATGAGGAGCAAGCTCCCACCGGAATGTGTGCGGCTTTGGAGTTTTTTGGTGTTTCCGCAGAGACTACACCAGGCGGCAAGATGATGAAATTAGATGGGACGATTAGGGACTTTCCTGTCTCCATCCTAGTAGATAGTGAAGCGACTCATAACTTCATCTCTCGTCACTGGTAACATCCTTAGCTTTACCGTTTAATAGTTGTTCGGGAATTAATATTCGTTTGGGTGATGGTCATACTATTGTTGTTGATCAACAATGTCTTAATCTACAATTAATGGTGGGACAATATGAGTTTATGGTGAATGCTTTAGTTTTTGATGCTAGGAAATTGGACGTGGTGTTGGGGATGGCTTGGCTCCAAACATTGGGAGAAGTAATTCATAACTGGGAGAAATCTTGGATGAAATTTAATTTTCATGGGGTCTCCATTTCGTTGCAAGGAAAGAGAGCCTCTCAAGGTTCCTTTGTGGACACAGTTTTACCTCCAGAATTGGATTTAAACGCTACTGAGTTGATTACTCCAGTGGCTGTCTTAGCTACTCGCACAAACAAGGAACGCGATTCTGACAATGAGCAATGGCTGGTTCAATGTAAGGGGAGTTCACTGGAAGAGGCAACATGGGAAGATGCGTTAACCATCCAGAGTCACTTTCCTAATGCAAGTCTTGAGGACAAGATTTTGTTGGAAGGGGGGAGTAATGATACGGAATTGGGATTATTTAAAGATGAAGTTAACAAACCTAGGATATTACACGTATATTCTAGAAGGGGCAAAAGGGTGAATGACAAAAGTGGCTGAAGGTTGTTAGAAGAGAGAGAATAAAAGAGGAAGGAGGTTTTCTTTTTTACGCATTCTGTTATTTGCTTTCCATTGTCTTGGGCTCCAATCTTGTAGATTGTGAGAGAGGGATTATCCCTGGAGTTTTGATTGTAATTTCCCATTTCCGATTTCAATTAAATCATTCCCTTCCTCTCAATGTGTTCTTACTTCATTCATAGTTGCATTAGAAATTCGATTATTCATCACACACAATCGAACTATATAGGTTAATTCCCATGCCACGTTTTTTTGCCACGTTTTTTTGCCACGTTTTTTTGCGGGTGAATATTTTGTTGCTATTGTAACTTGATGCATCTACGGATAACAATTTTCTGGTATGCAATTACTCATGAAGATTTAGAGCACAACTGCATAGTTTTGGGTTGATGTTAAATTGCTGCTTGGTCTAAGCAATTAAAGAATTTGATCAGGTAGTAGTTCACAGAACATAGCATAAAGGCCTGAAAACTTTTGAGGGAGAAGCTAATTGGGTCAATCAATACATTTAATTTACCAAGTGGATGAAGATTCATTCAATATATTTAATTCACTAAGTGGATGAAGATTTAGAAATATGGTACAATTAAGGCCTGGTTTATGCTGAAAATCAATATGGTATGTAGGCATTGATCATCGCAACCCCTACACAAGGTTCATCCATTCTCAACAAAATGAATACAGTGGTTATACGAGTGAAATAAGGGAATATAGTTCGTAGCACTTGACATTCCCACCTCCACCACTAGCATCAGGATTCAGCAAAGAATTTCGGTTAACTTTACACTTGAATTATATGAAACTTGGGATGCTCGAAGTTTAATTCGCGGTTAACAAGAGTAAAGCAATTCAAGAACAAAAAACAAATGTTAGGGTTTAATTGAAGTACCTGAGATGTTAAATCAGCAGCAGTGTAAATGAGAGCAGATGTGATACTTTTGGTAAGAATCGGTCGGGTTTTAATCATGCCCAAATACCAATGTCTAAGGACGGGAGCGAGAGCCGGGAAGGAAGGACGAAAGGTCAAAGCGAAGCCTCGAAGGGAACAAGGGAACAGGGAAGACGAAACTGGAGCGGTAGAGACGAGGTCGAAGCAAAGCCTCAGAGCAAAACCTCTGGTGATGGCCAAAAAAATGGTTACGGGCCGGGCTTTTCCAAACGGTCTCAAGATTTCTCATAACCGATCCGGCGAACCGTCTAAAAAATTGAGCCCGTTCAAGCTTATTGTAACCGTTATGTGCCGTCGGTCTCGATTATTAAAAATATTGTTTATTTTTTATTTTTTATGATATATATTTTTAATACATTATAAAATTTGTAATTGGGTCACTTAAATACACTTTAAAAATGCATTTTATTATAATTAAAATTACATTGTCTTACAAAATATAACGAAAAACCGATAATTATGAATGTTTTTTTGTGTTTTTTGCTAATCGAGAATTTTGTATGTAAATCTCTCAACCAAACACACTTATATAGAGTGTTTAGAAAGAAAAAAAATACAAAAAGGGATAAAAACGGTTAGGGGGTGTTTGGTTTGCCGGAATGGATTGGATTTGAAGGGATTTGGATTTAAAATCCAGGAAATCCCGTGTTTGGGTTGCTTAAGACATAAGGATTTTGGAATCCTGGGATTGGATAAAAATCCATTAGACGCGGGATTTAGAAATCCTTTGCAAAACCGCAGGATTTCAAATCCAAATCCCATGGGATTCCTCTCCATCGCTTCCACACAATTGCACACACTCTTCATCGCTTCCTCTCAATTGCACAGGGCCTCACTCTCCATCGCTTCCACACGATTGCGCATGGCCTGAATACTCTCCATCGCTTCCTATCGATTGCTTCAACCAGCTTACGAGACATCACTTCCCTCACACCCTCCCTAATCCATCGCTTCCTGTCGATTGCTTCAACCAGGTTACGAGACATCGCTTCCCTCACACCCGCCCTAATCCATCGCTTCCTTCCCTTCAGCCCTAATCTATATATCTCCCTGTTCCCGTAATCAGAGGTAAGTTCTTGATTCAATCTCTATATCTCTCTGTTCTCAATAGTCTGTATCCAATTTCAAGAACCTAATTTATTGATTGCGTTCATATATAAACCCTAATTACGGTACACGGATTGATATTTGTGCGTATTTGGTAATTTTTGTTGCTATTGAATTATATATCTCTCTGTTCTCTGTGATTCATTTACGCATAAGTATAAAGCAATTTCATTGGCCCATGGCTGACGGATTTAGTAATGCGGTTACTAAACTTGGAGAAACTTTGGAGAAAATGGTGAACAAACTTAACAGGGGTGTAGAACGAGACGACAAAATTGATAAGAAACGTTCGATGATCACTCCTGAGATATTAAAAATGCAGACGTTGGCCCAACAGGATAAGTATAAAGCAATTTCATTGATAAGAGACGATCCTAAGAAGGTGAACACGTTTTGAGATTTCCAAGAAGCGGACAGGGAAAGTTATGTCGATTGGGTTTTAAATGGATGAAAATTTTGGTGGGTAAATATGTGGTTTTGAGAGAACAAGTTGGTAGTTAAATGTGGGTAAATTTTGGTGGGT